TTAGTGTTTCGTTCTCGCTCTATTCTGGTGCGAATCCGAGAGACTCATAAAATCCTATCTTTAGAAAAAAGAAATAAAAATAAAAATACTCTGGATGTCTTTAGTTATTGTCTTAACCAATAACTTGCCACTATCAAGAATTACCGACTTAGCCTTCATCAGACTGGCACATCTGGTTGGCTTATCGGAGGATCAACTAGGTAACGTTAATAGTCCCTAGAAACCTATATTCGGTTGAACCATCTCGCTACCGAAGTTTTCAGATGTAAATAAAATTGGAAAGTAAATAAAGCTCTATTAATAGAACTAGACCAACTCTTTTATGTTTGGTATTTTACTGAGGCCTTTTAATGGCCTCATCCAAATATCTGATCTGTTAAATGGAAAAGGTTTAATTAATAAAACCATTAAAACCCACTTTAGGAAACTTAAGTTCTTTGTGCTATTAAGAGCACATTTAGGAGACTTAAGTTCTTCGTACTATTAAGAGTACATTTAGGAAACTTAAGTTCCTCGTACTATTAAGAGTACGTTTATAATTTGCGTACTGCTTAAGAGTACGTTTATACATAGAGTCTAATGTGGAGGCCCGGCTGATTACACCAACAGCATTTATCCCGAGCTTTACTGCTCATCCTTCGTATGTTCCAAAATTATTTAAGCGTAAGAAACGTCCAGTCGACCACCACGGACCTACTGGACCTAAACCCAAAACTCACAGGGTAACCGAGAACGCTTGACTTCTCCGCTTGAGAAACATTAATTATACGTTATGTTACTTAATGTTTTCGACCCGTTTTCCATTCTCGCTTTTTGACCCATAATCAGCTTGAGCGAGCAACTTGCTTCTCCTGGGTTTCAAAGCTGGGTGGGGGCTGTGTAAAAGCCGGGCCTCCACATTCGAATCTTGTAATATAAACGTACTCATAATAGTACGTAAAACGTACTCTTAAAAGTACGTAAACTTAAGTTTTCCTTAAAAGGTTTCTAACAGTTTTTATTAATTAAATACCTTTTCCATTTTACATATCAGATATTTGGACAACCATTAAAAGGCCCTAGTTAATATAACTATATTTTCTTTCCAAATCTATTTATATCTGAATACTTCGGTAGCAAGATGGCTCAACCGAACATAGGTTTCTATGCACTATTAGCGTTGCTTAGTTTATCCTCCGTTCAGCCAACCAGATGTGCCAGTCTGATGAAGGCCAAGTCGGTAATTCTTAATAAGTGGCAAGTTATTGGTTAATGCAATAACTATGGACATCAAGAGTATTTTTCTTTTTTCTTCTTTTTTCTTCTTCTAAAAATAGGATTTAATGAGTCTTTTGGATTCGCCGCCAACGAAACATACCATAGTTTCTATTAGAGCGACAACGAAACACTAAATAAAATCCCTTCGGCGAAAACAGTACTGAGAGGATTATATATAGACAATGTCTCAGCCTCACAATCCCTCAGAGTATTGCCATTTTCACGAGGCATACCTAACTTTACAAAAAGACTCATTTCAATTATTTACATTGAATTTAGTTATACTTAGACGTATCTTAAGCGTTTAATTACTCTAAGGCGTTAATATCGCTTTGATAGACCAAAACTTACACCACCGATATGCTCATACCTTGTTCTGATCCAGTTCAAATATCACAATCGGTATACGATATACTCAAAAGGAGAGGTGACTATCTACTAAAGAGTGCTATAGGAAGGCCTAAGGCGGTATTTTATTATCATGCAACAGAACAAGTGGAAATGCTAGAGACTAACCGATATAAACGTCGATTTATACACTTGAGTACCGGGATACTATGCACGTATACGTGATAACTGACTGTTCACGTTTCTACCTGACAAGCGCACTCTCTTTTCACAATTAAATAGCAACGCTCTACCACCAGATTGCGTGTTTTCCGGGTCGGGGTCTGCACACGCTGCCATACTGGCAGCAATAATTGCCACCAGAATAGCTCCAAGCAGTAGACAGATCGCGCAATGTGTTAAAGAACAACACTACGTACAGCGAACAACACACACGGATATACAAAGAGCCAAGCGAAATGCAGTGTTCGTAATGCACTTGGATGAAATCAATATAAGGCCAACTTATAACTATACCAACAAGACATCCTTCTTTGGCCTTTCACACAACAACCCGGATACATTGGCTAACCATATCCAAACATTTTTGATCACTCCTATGAGTGGGAAAAAACTATCATTTAACCTGATGAGTAAACCTGTATCTAAAATGACTGGTAACGAGCTAGCAAACTACACTAACATAGCTTCATGCATGCATCTGATGCATGCATCTGATACATGTATGCATCTCATCGATGAAACTAATTCTATGGTGTATCCACAGCAATTTTTAATATCCGGTAGGGAG